AAGACCCCAAAAAAAATTAAAAAAATTAAAATTTTAAAAAAAAAAAAAAAAAAAAAAAAAAAAAATTTAACATCTATTCACATGTAATTTTTATATCTATTTAGTTATGAGTAGAAGAAATATTTTGTATGTAACAAAATGTATCAATTTTAATAAAATTAGGTGCTTAATGTTTTATTTAAAAATAGCATATTTCAAAACACTTGTACATAAAAAGTCTACATCTATTATTTCGTATTGAGCTCATAAATTTCTGGATGAATCATAATTAATATAAGAGAACTTCTATGAATTAACTTATAAATAATTTTATTTTATTTTTTTTAATAAGTATTCTTAGAAATTTAAAAATTGTTAAGAAAGGAGTGAATGATGAGTTGAACATACTTGGTGCAGTCGGTGGAGTTGCTGATCTTGTAGGGTATTTTGACGTCACATTCTGCTGGTAGTGAAGCTGCGTAATTGGCACTCACAGTAGTCTCACTGGCAAGGCTTTTCAGGCAGTTGCACGTGGCCCGGACATCGGCAGTATTCTTGTCCTCGTTGTAGATGTTTTTCACTCCGTCGCAGCACGATGACGACGGTTTTCCTCCGTTACGGAGGTAACTGTAGCACGGAGATAAGTAATTTGTCACCGTGCTGCAGCTGATGCTAGACGACGGTGCACCCATGGGTGCACGTGCACTCAGAGCCACCACCATGCACATCACTGCAACAACACATGCTACCCTGAGGCCAGCCATCACTGCTCAAAGGAACAAATGAGAAAGATAATAATGATGTAGTGTGTATTTTTGGAGTTTTGTTGCTTGATGGGTTGGTGGATGAAGTGGTGCAAGTGTGAGGGTTTATATAGAACATAAGATAGGGTTCATAGGGCATGGGAAAAGGAAAATGTTTAAATTGCATTTCATTTATCTTAAATGTTAATAACGGAAAAAAAAAAGGAACAAAAAAAAGAAATGAGAATGATAGATGTAAATGTAATAAAAATAAATAAGACTTAATAGTTTGGCAAATTTCTAATTTTGCTCCATCAAAATTTTTATTGACAAAATTGGTCCTGTAGTTTTAAAAATAAGTAATATTAGTTCATTTTCAACATATTGTTTAAAATTTTAAAACTTAATAGAAAATATTGATGAGTGTAAATAATATTTTTTTGCAATATATTAGTCTAGTAGAAAAATAATAGTATTAAAGAATATTATTTAAATTAAAATAAAAAATAATATTTTTGTAGTAAAAATTAATATTGTTCTTTATTACATGAAAACTAGTGTGATTAAGTAATTTTAAGTAGTGTCACTCAGGAATATGTTAACATTTTTCTGTTAAATTTTGTATGACATATTGGATGGATCAACATTATTTAATTTTGAAAATTAGGATATAAAAATTATAAAAGAGAATATTTTTATAATAAAATATAATGCTCTTTACATAGAAGTTAGTGCTACTATGTAATATCTAGTATTACTTATAGACATGTCAAAAAACTTTTAATTTAGAAGATTATGAGACAAAATTTATAATAAAAAATAATTTTGAGACTAAAATTAAACATTTATAAAA